ACCCCACGCTCCCAACTGACCCCCTGGCACAGCTATCAGTGTCTGTTTCCTCAGGGGCAGAATGATTTCTCCCACATCCCCTGCTACCCCTGGACACCACAAGACCCTCCAGTGCCACGCACTCGTGCCCCACACCTGGGGATGGACCCCATGCCACCAGAACAGCACGTTCTGTGAAACAGCCCCACATGGACTCCTGACCGAGCCTAGGACCCAGTAGATAACCAGCAGGCACCCACTGAAGATAGGAGGTTGCTATCAACCCCCCATCTCTGACCTGGGATGTGAAGTGCAGGGATGCCCTTGCTGAGAGAGAAGGCTGGTTTTGGGGTCCCAGCATTTCCCACACTGCTGTGGCTTGGGCCAGCTTGGAGAGAGGGCAGATGAGGGTGGGTTGTGTGTGTGTATGTGGGTGCCTGCCTATCAGGAATTCACCCCATGTTCTCTGCCCTTCCCTGCACGCAGAGACAAGAGATGCATGGCCGCACGTTGCTCCCTGAGGACAGACACACACACACACCTCTCAGCGGGAATGCAAACCACCACCTTGTATTGGGGACGCTGGGGAAAGGGAATTCCCACAGGACCATGGTCCAGCTATCCAGGGTTGCTGGTGGTCCCAGCAGTGCTTGGTGCCTCCATGCAGCATCACCTCAAGCATGCTAGGAGGGCATGGGCTGGTCTCAGGGGGTTGCTTGGATATTGGCATCAGGAACCCAGGAGCCCATCAAGGATACCATCGGCTGCAGGAAGAAAGATCTGGCAGTGCCTGCCCCACCAGTGAGGGCTCCGGGATGTCCCCATGCCCTTGGGCTGCACATTCTGCCCCTCCTTCTCCAACAGCCTCACCTCTAACCCCACCAGGCAGCCCCGAACCTACCTCCGACAGCAGAACTCGTGCTCGGAGCAAAGGCCAACACGACCGATCCCCAGAGGGCACGACCCATGAGAGCAGAAGCCCCCACGGCGCTCACAGTCCTGGGGTGATCCGAGAGACAGGGTCTTCCCTGCAGAGGGTAGAAAGAGGAGACCTTCAGCACAGCCTTGCTGAGATGCTGAGCACAGCCCCTGGTCCATGAGCGGCCAAGCTGTCCCCTGCCACAAACGCATCTGCAGCAGAAATCAAGGTGATGTTTATGGCACTTGGATGGGCAACACTGTCTACCATCCCTCAGCAGCCTCCAGGAGAGGCTCTCCAACATGTTTGCTGCATCCCTTCTGGCACAAGGGAGGACTCCGAGGGTGGAAGCAGGATCTGCCTTCCTCCCTCCTCCTCCTCTCCACCACTGCTGCTTTGCCCAGGGCTGCTGACTCAGAAAGGCATGAGGAAGGCCAGGAGGCATGAGGAAGGTAGCAAATCCTTGTCTGTGGAGCACAAGAGCTTTGTTACAAGGTCCCAGCTCCAGACCCAACTGCAGAACCTGCAGTAGGAGACTTTCCTTAAAGGAATGGGATGTGAGAGACCCCAGGGAAGATGCCACAGCAACCAGGAGACATCACACGTGACTCAGCTCGAAAATCCTCCCTGCAAAATACTGACAAAGGACAAAGCTTCCACATCCCCCCCAACATTTCTTACCTGCTGCTCCCTGGAGCATCAGGAAGAGGAGAGCACAGAGGAGAGGCAGGATCCGCATGGCTGGATGTTGCTGGCAAGGTCACAGCTCTGGGGAGAAGAGAAAGGAGGCAGAGATGACCAGCAGGGTCCCTGCCTGTGTGTGGTGTAGCACCTGCACAGGGACGGGACTGAGGAGAGGGGACAGCCCGTCCAGGAGCAGATGTGACCAGGAGGATGTGCTTGACAGCCCGGGAGTAGGAGCTTCCCACAGCCTCTCGGATCCCAGCAGCAGAATGGTGGCAGCCTCTCCTTGGCAAAGTGTCCCTCGGGATGTCTGTCACCTCAAAATGTCCAGCCCAACAGCTCCTTTTCCTGTTTTTCCCCCTGCCAGGGAAATAGAAGCATCAGCTTCTTCTTCTGACACCTCTGAGAAGGATTCCCAGGCCTCCAGCCCAGGGTCTTGTGTCATCCCACCTTGCGTAAGGGCCATCCAGTGCTGTGGTTTGCTGGACACG